TGTAATTAATTAAACGATTATTTACGGTATACGTAAAAGTTGGGGTTAATGTTTATGGGAAAGAATGGTATAAAATCATCCCATAATCTGAATTGGGTTATTCTTTAACGTTAAGATCAGATTTAAAATCTACTTATTTATTAAACGTAAGTAAGTTCGAATTACATTCGTGGTGATTAAATTATGATTCAGTAGCAGCTGCTATTTTTGTAAATTTTTAATAAGAAAAAATCTTAAAGTACGGTAATCATTTGCGGCAGGATTACAGCTAAGAAAAATTTTATTGCAGTCTTAACAATGAATTATATTTTGCTTAAATTTATTCCGTAGCAAAGAGTACAGATTATGTAGCAAATTAATAGATATTTTAGACCTCTCCTGATGACTGATCATCTATAATTAATATTCTAATTTTTTAAGTCTATATTTGAAGAAAATCAAGTAGTAATTTTAATTTTTTATCGTCAGAATTTATATTAATACATAGAGGTCGTTTATGTATTAAAGACGCGGTTGGGAAGTATATTTTGTATAAGAAAACAAGTAAAATTTAAATACTGCGATGAATTATAAAAACAAGTCTAAACTATCATTACTAGAGTTCGATGCACTCTAATCATAAACTTTACACAAATAAGTGCACGCGGTAACCATTTAGAACAGAACTATTTAAATAAGCTTTATATGCAATACACATATTGCAAATGAATAACTATGATTGCATATAAAATTTGTGAAAGAAATATTTCCGGCATTTACATCTATCACTATCCTATAATATCTATAGAACTACGGTTTGAATATAAAATTTAGTGAAGAGATCTCAAAGAATTATTACTACCCTGCCATATAATAATATCTTCAACTTGATTAAAATAAATGCCTGAAATTTACTGTCATAATCCAATTTTATATTGTCATGCTATACGATTTTGCTGGTTATTTTACTCGGTAAAACAATAATCTCCTAATGATAAATAGAAAATGATACATTTCTGTCTTTGATGCTTAGATCAAGTTGTTGCCAATTCTTTTACGACCACTTATTAATCGAGAAAGGTTTTAAATTACTGTACTCTTCCAGAGGAAGGTATTTTATTACACTCTAGATAATCATCCAACCATTTACAATTCCTTACCTGCTGTAATTAAATTTTCGGCATAAAATAATTAAGGTTATATCTTGATTTATACTAGGGATTTTTAAATCGATGTTTTATCCATTCAATTAGTTTTAATATGGAATCCCTTATGAAATTAAAAAGACATCAAAATAGTAGTTTATGTATATATAAGTTTTGATAAATTTTAAAAGAATACTATTATTTTCTATCTTAAACGGTCATGTGAATGGGTAAATGATTTCTTACATTCAGCTATAGTATAATACGCCTGTAGCGATTGTTTCATGTACTTAGGACTTCCTTTTTTTTTGATAAAAAAAGTCCAATTAGAAGCTGT